TTTTGAAGAACAGATGATTTAGAAAAGAGAGAAGAGAGCTTCAGACAAATGATTGGAAATGTTTTTAGGAATTTCCTAAATGTCATATTTAACACTATATTACAACTTATGACATTCCCATACTTTCTTTAATAAAATAAAACTTTATTTAAACATCCACTTTAAGTATTAATGATTCAAAAATAACTCAGAAGATATGAGACAGAGAATACCAATGAAGTCAATAGCAAAACTCAGAAAATATGAAACAGAAAATACCAATGAAGTCAATAGCAAAACTCAGCCAACCCCAGTAGTCCCTAGCCATATCCATGCTGATCTTAATCTTCATTTTAAAAATCTGTGCAGACCACAGAGTGTCAATTTAAGTCAGATCTGGGGCTAGGGTTATAGTGCATGTAAGCATGTCACTTCATTGGTGGCTTTTCTTAATTCTGAGTTTGCTTGATCAAATTCAGTGTGCATTATTGAGAGCCGTCTTAATTCTTGGGGCCATTCTCCTTTGCCATTCAACATTCCAGTTTCCAGATATTACCTGGCATCCAGAAGAGCTGCAATAATGTCAACCGCATATCAGAAAGTAAGTTCCTGAACCGAGGAAGTTTGCATTCTAGGGGACTAGAGAGTCAATCATGAATTAAGCATAAATAAGATAATTTCTCTGAGTGAAAATGGTTGTTAAGGAAATCAAGGCTGGGTGCAGCAGCTCACGGCTGTAATCCCAGCACTTTGGGAGGCTGAAGCTGGTGGGTCACATGAGGTCAGGAGTTAAAGACTGGCCTGGCCAACATAGTGAAACCCTGTCTCCACTAAAAACACAAAAAAATTAGCCAGGCATGGTGGTGCACACCTGTAATCCCAGCTACTTGGGAGGCTGAGGCAGGAGGATCCTTTGAATCTGGGAGGTGGAGGTTGCAGTGAGCTGAGATTGTGCCACCACTGCATTCCAGCCTGGGGACAAAGTGAGACCCTGTCTCAAAAAAAAAAAAAATAGAAAGAAAAGAAAAAAATCAAAGAGGAGAAAGAAGAGAAGAGCAAAGAGTGATCCTTGTGGAAATGGCAAAGGCCAAGTGTAGAAAGACTCCTCAAGGATGGCCTTTCTTGGGAGGTAACATTTACACTGAGGAGGAGAAGCAGCTGATTGTGTGATGACCTAGGAGAAAATCCCCTGGCAGAGGGAGCTGCAAGAGTACAGGTTCTGAGGAGGGGCCAAGCATGGAGCATCCAGAAGGAAGGCTGTAGGGGCTGGAAACAGTGCAGGAGGGAGGGCTGCGGGAGGGAGGCCTGTCCAATGCCCCTGGGCAGGGAAGGCAGACAGTGCTTGGATCATTGCTGAGGCTTGAGGGCTACTGAAGATTCTTATTTCCCAATCTAGTTTTTAAAAATCCACAAGGCACAGCCTCCTGCCTTTCAAGAGCCATCTTCACGCTCAGTCAGATGTCTGTGGGGCTACTATGCAATGACTTTTCTCTTTCAAAGGTCATGAAAAGATTAGCACCTGTGGCTATTGATTTTAAAATTCTTCCCCCAGGACCACTGTGTGATCTCTAAGAGCCTCGGGGACCCCAAGATAAAGGGCTCATCCCAGACCTTACCCTTTGGTGTTTGCATCCAACATCGGTAGTAACTATAGGCAGCCTCATTTCCCCTTTCTCCACCCAAATGACCTGGATTGCCCAGTGTGGGGATGCCTGAGTGCCCCATCAGTTAAAATTCCCTCTCAGTTTGGGGTATTTTCCCTCTCAGTTTCCTAGTTTCTGCTATAAAATGGGGATAACAGTTCCTATTCCATAGGGTTATGAGTGTTAAATGAGATAATGCATGTATGACACCCAGCACATTCTGGCTCACTGTAGACACTCAAGAAAATGCTCTTTTATTAAAAAAAAAAAAAAAAAAAAATCTGTTCTATTTCAGCCCAGCTAAGCTGGTCACACTTTATTTGATCTTTAGTCACAATTCATACTCTTACGAATTTTTCTTCCTTACATCTTCTTTCTATCAAATCGACCATGGTAAAAATTTGTAATATGTCACACATCTCTGTATTTTACCCAGTGGATTAACGAAATCAGTGGCATCATATATTTTTATGCTGCTTTTTTCTTCTGGGATCTCCAAGTTCAGTGCTGATTTCTATTGCTAGTGTGTAAAGGCTTACATTTTCCATTCTAGCCTGAAATCATCTATCTCTTCAGTATCTTCCTATGGACCCTCGCTTAAAAATTTAAAAAGTGAAAATCTTAAGGGTCAATAATACACATTTAAATTTAAAGAATAAATTTCACCGATTTTTTTTTTGCTTTTCTATAATTGCAGATTTTCATTTTGCAGTCTCAGCAACTCATAAAAAGAAATAAGCAATTTAAATTGGTAGCAGACATAGGAGAATTCTTCTAATCCAGGAGGTATGAAAATGATTTACTTCTATTAGCCTCAGAAGACCCAAGTAAATTGTCTGTTTCCATTACTGACCTAAATACAGGTAGTCTTTAGAGGGGAATGCTTAGCTTTGTAAAATCATTTTAAAGAATAATTCTGCTGTTCAGTGCTCATCTTCATTGTTCTGGGGTATATCTGAAAGGGTTATATTTTAGAACTTCTGATTTTCAGTTTGAATACGTAAAGTTTCTTACTTTGTGGCAGTCTGATTCTTCCCTTTCTTGGTATCAACTTCCACTTTCTTTAGTTAAAGTAAGGGAAATTCTCAACACTATTTCAGTTAATTTTTAAAATTTCTTCTCATGAGATTAATCTTGCAAACTATGAGAATCGTAATTCAGCAATAATGTCCAGGACTGGTTCTTTCTCGAGATACTTTATTGTTTTAACAGAGGAAGAATACTGTGAATGTGAAATCTCTAATTTGCTTGCTTTCTTTATAGCATCATGAATATAAGGAAAGATGAATAGTGTTTGGGGATACAGACACTGAAGACGGTAATGGACCTAAAGACGGTGGGGAACACATTTAGTTAACCGGACAGCTAAACACTGCTGTCTCCATCCTCTCAACTTGAGATGCAGTCTCCCAACTTCTTAGACACAGCTTCCGAGTTGTAACCACTTCTCAGAACTATTTTCAGAAAGAGGAAGTCCTGATGTTAAAGGATGCTTTGCTTTTCAGTTGTGCCTACAAAAAGTGTGTCATGAACACCCGGACATTCTGAATGTAACAATTACTCATGAAAGCTTAGGGTGTGGTGAACCTTCCCAACATGAAGTTGCGAGAGCTTGTCTATCAGCAGCGACTCAAGTCTAAAAGAATGCTCAAAGATCTGGTAAACGTTACTGTTCAGTGTTTTGAAAAAAGATTTGCAGTTTAGAAGGGACATAATTTTTTTCTCTTCACGGTAATGAAACCCCAAAAGAAATGGCCTCCTCCTGTCTTTTTCTTCAATTGCCACCCCTACAGTCCCATTCTCCACAGAGTAGCCCAATAGTTCTTTCAAAGAGGTAAATCAGATCATGCCACACCGCTGGTTGAAATTTCCCAAGGCTTTTGTTGGAATGAAAGTAAAATCCAAGCTCCTTTCCAGGGCACACAGGGTCCCTTGCCTAAGGTCCTTGGTTTCATCTTACTATGCCCCTTCCATCCTTAAGCTCTGGCCTTCCTGACTCATTCTGCTCAAGTGACCATACGGGTTCCCACCACTTCAGGGTCTTTGCCTTGCTGCTTCTCCAGAATCCTTTCCCAAGATGCCCGTGTTGGCAGCTACTGTTGATTCATATCCAAGATCAAATGCCACCTTCTTAAATCTAGTTCATAATCCCTCTTTCAAATTCCACATTCAGAAATTGAGAGCAGCACTTCTAAATATACAAGTCTTGAAAGCATGCTTCTGGGTCCACAGGAAATCTAGCAAAGTGGTTCCCAATTCTGTACCATGCATCTATTAAAAATTAGATCCAATGTGTATCATCTCAGTGCTTCACTTGAGGAAAGTGTTAATAAAAGCTTAACTTTTGATTGTTCCAAGTGTTTTTCTGAATTATTTACATAACCTTAGCTTGATGAACCAGTGAGTTGGGTAGTACCAGTTCAAGGAAGTTCTTTAAATATGAGCAAATCCAAACCCATCCAGGAATATTATATTTTAAAATTTGCCATTTACTCAGTTCGTTCGTCCAATAAGTGATTATAGTACTGCACACCTACTGTGTGCCAGGCATTCTTCTTACAGGCCTGCAGGGTATTCTGCAGGGAAAAGTCCCTGCCCTTTGGGGATTTTTACTTTAGAAGGGGAAACAGATATTGAATTAATTTCTATTTTTGTTCAGGTAGTCAGGTGAGCTTTTCTGCGGAGGTGACATTTGAGCAGAAGCAGAACAAAATTACTTTCTCCAAAGGTTTATGTTCCTAAGACTCAGGAACAAAATTAGGGGTTTATTTTCCTTTTGGCTGTGTGTGTGCGTGCGTGTGTGTGTGTGTATATAATATATATGTAATATATATTTTACATATATACATATGTACATATGTACATATGTATATATGTATAAATATATATAAAATATAAAAAACATAAAAATATATATGTAATATATATTATATATATATATATATATATATTTTTTTTTTGTGGAAGTTGTTTATTTTCATGACTTCTGATATCCCAGCATGAAAATGCATGAAACAAGTAAGAAATATGAATGCTATATTGTCAGAAAAACTATTTGGCCATAGGGTACTTTTCTAATCCTCTTGTGCCTGCTATCGAAAAAACAGCTCACAAAATAATAACACAATGATAAATGAATGTCAAAACTACATTTAAAAATTAAATCAGAGTGTATGTATATCTCAATCCAAACTCTGTGAAGATGCAAGCTACACATGTTGAACAAAATGTCCTGTCTTGACTCTTATGCGTACATTTTGGAAAATGTGCCTTGACAGAAGATTAATGTACACGTATTCACAAACAATGGCAGGACTAGAACAGAGGACGTCATCTATATTTGGAAAAGATCAGTAAGTGCTCATCACAGGTTCTTACCGGGGTAGCTGTCGAATGTCTCCAGAATATTGTTCATATTTGTAGTTTACCACATGCCATTGGGAACTATAAAATTTACAAGCCTGAAAGAAAGAAAAATGACAATTATTAATATAAAATTATCATTAAAAGGCTGGGCGCGGTGGCGCACGCCTGTAATCCCAGCACTTTGAGAGGCCGAGGCGGGTGGATCACCTGAGGTCAGGAGTTCAAGGCCAAACTGACCAACATGGCAAAACCCCAAAACCCCGTCTCTACTAAAAATACAAAAATTAGCCAGGCGTGGTGGCAGGTGCCTGTAATCCCAGCTACTCGGGAGGCTGAGACATGAGAATAGCTTGAACCCAGGAGACGGAGGTTGCAGTGAGCCGAGATCGCGCCATTGCACTCTAGGTTGGGTGACAGAGTGAGACTTCGTCTCAAGAATAAATAAATAAATAAATAAAAACAATTAAATAAAAAAAAAAAAATCAGCTGCCTGAGCAAAAAGTACCATGAAGACAGGTCTCGTGCCTCTGGGGTGCTGCGAATGCTAGCAACTTAAAGGTAGGTAAGGAGATTGATCTTTCTAATCATTTTCCATTTCCCATGGAACTCTAACCATTTCCATTCCATTCCTCCATTAAATAGGAGGAACTGTTTAATATATTTACTCTATTTTAGTCTACCAAAAAAACAAATGTTATCACCCCTGAATCCTACCGGACATGCTGCTAACCTCAAGAACCATCATTTTTCAGCTTCCCTTGGCAAGCCCTGACATGATCTAAGAGTTCTTAGTAGGAAAAGATGTTATTATTTATATGAGAGCCTTTTGTCACGATTTTAGCCCATTCCTTCTTTTTCTTACTTCAGTGACCAATCTTCCATTTTCTATCATTGCTCCTGTTAGTCTGAAGCTAGCTTTTCAGTTTTATCCCATGCCTTCTAAGGCACAGCCTTTCTCTGTGATTATTCACAGGTTCTATTTTGTTTTATTTTATTTTTAATTTTTGTGGGTATATTGTAGGTGTATATATTTACAGGTTACATGAGATGTTTTGATACATGCATGTAATGTGTAATAACCACATCATGGAAAATGGGGTATCCATCCCCTCAAACATTTATTGTTTGTGTTATGAACCATCCAATCATACTCTTTTTGTTATTTTTAAATGTACAATTAAATTATTATTGACTATAGTCACCCTGTTGTGCTATCAAATAGTAGGCCTTATTCATTCTAATTATTTTTTTGTACCCATTAGCCATCCCCACCTCCCCTCCACCCCAGCCTCTGGTCACCACCCTTCTACTCCCTTTCTCTGTGGGTTGAATTTTTTTCATTTTTGGATCCCATAAGTAAGTGAGAACATGCGATGTTTGTCTTTCTGTGCCTGGCTTATTTCACTTAACATAATGATCTCCAGTTCATTCGTAGATTTTATAAGCAGATGCGAATAACTAATAAGCAAAAATGATTTAGAAACATTAATGGCACAAAATAGTTATATAGTGGTACGTAATGGCTGATTATATAATATTTATGGATGGCAAATATTTTCCAAACACCTGCCATGCACCCAGCACGGTACTGATCATAGATTTGTAACGGGATTTCACCTGATGACTTTTGAGACTCCTTTCTATTCTAAAATTACGTGATTCTGGAGAGTAAGCAGCTATTATTTGGATTATAGGAACACCTGTTCTTTAGCATTGGGGGAACATGAAGAGTAATAAACCTATTGCACTGTGAGGAGTAAAGACCTGTGATTGTCTTTGTAAGCAAGAAGGGAATAGGTAAGGTGCAGGACTGCTGCAGCAAAGAAAGTGCTAGCACTGCCTTTGCAGAAAGGATGGAGGGGTGTGGCCTAGTGGGCATCATAGAAAGGAGGATGGAGAACACATGTTCCAGGCGTGAGGCTCGAGATGCATGAAAAAGGCAGGGAGAGGGGATGGGGCTCTTGTGGATTTCTCTGGCCTGGAGTTCTCTCAGCACCACAGCTTTATTTGTTCAGGGAGGTGCCCACACACAAACTGGGGACTGAGGACAAAACAAGGGGTGACCCTGGGACAGAGGTGGGTGTTGGAGGATGACAGCTATGAATGCAGGACAAAAGGAGAACTTGAAAACGAAACAGTGGCAAGACAGATGAATGTAGAGAAGAGTAGTAAAACGGAAGTCAGGGGATCTAGAAGTACTGGAATGGATGGGGAATTTGAGCAAAACAATATGGTGAGCTGTAGCAACTTGCCAATGCCTGAGCCAATTCTGCAAAGCACGTGTTTCTGGAAATAAGAGGAAAATTGAGACTTTTTTTTTTTTTTTTTTTTTGAGACGGAGTCTCGCTCTGTCGCCCAGGTTGGAGTGCAGTGGTGAAATCTCAGCTTACTGCAAGCTCCGCCTCCTGGGTTCATGCCATTCTCCTGCCTCAGCCTCCCGAGTAGCTGGGACTACAGGCACTTGCCACCACGCCTGGTTAGTTTTTTGTATTTTTAGTAGAGACGGGGTTTCATCGTGTTAGCCAGGATGATCTCCATCTCCTGATCTCGTGATCTGCCCGCCTTGGCCTCCCAAGGTGCTGGGATTACAGGTGTGAGCCACTGCACCTGGATGAAAATTGAGCCTTAATACGCTCCTTTGCTGAAATGTTTTGTCTTCATTTTGGATAAAGATGCCAGGGATTTAGACAAGGAGCATATAGGTCAACAGTATCCCAAGCCAAGGAGACAGAACTTTCATGGTTATAATTCTTTCTCATCCCCTCTCTTTTCCTTTCCTTTCTTTCTACCTTGCTGTTGTTCTCAAATGAAACAAAATCCATTTTAAAATGGAAAAAGAAGAGCATAAAACCCACTCCCTTTTTGCATTCCCTTTCAATCCTTTTTCTGTTGCATAGTTTTATGTAGTTCCCCTCTAAGTATTTATTTGAATATGAATATTGTTTTTGTATTTACTTAATAACATATTCTATAGATTTTTACACTTGCTTTCTAATTTTATGACCACTTTAACTAACTAGAATAAAATATTATCCCCTAATTCACTAGCCTGGTCTTCTCATCTTGGAGATCATTCATTCATGCATTCATTGAACAAACATTGAGCCCTACTAGGTTACCCGGAGTTGTTCTGGGTAGTGTGAATATAGCAGGGAACAAAAAACAAAAGTCCATGCCCTCTTGGATTGACCTCCTTTTGAGGAGCTGATCAATAAACTAAAAACTAAGTAAATTGTGTTATATGTTAGAAAACGGTGGTGTCATGGGAAAAATAAAACGAAAGGGGCTGGGAGATTTGGAGCCAGGGGATTAATTTATATAGGTTGGTTAGTATGGAGCTCACAGGAAAGGTGAGACTTCAGCAGAGATGTAAAGGAGAGAACAAAGTGAGTCGTTTTTATGGCTACTTCCAATTTGGGGACATTATAGAAAAAAAAAGCCCCAGAGTATATGGTCATACATGTGGCCCTCCTACTCTCCCCCTGTACCATCCTATTTTGATTATTTTCTTAGGATAGAATGCTCAAAGTATTTTAAAGAGTCTTCGATAAAAATAGAAAATTGCCAAACCAGTGTATATTCCAAGTTAGCAAAATGAAAATAGAGGGTACGGCCTTGGGAACTACGTGATAGAAGGCTTTATTCTTGTCCTGGAACTAGGACTGACTCCTGATGTGATCTTGGTCGAGATATTTTATTTGTTGGGATCTCAGATTTAGCTCTTGAGCATTCAGAATATTAGACGGGATTAGAAATTTCTGCAACATAATTTCTATCTCCACACCTTCTGATCTGGAGGTTTCGATGGGACACAGATGCATTGACTTACTCACTGCCTTTTCTTGCTGTTGATGGTACCTATGTTTGACCTTGATAAACATGTATACTCATGCATGTTCATGCGTGATGTTCACAATATGCTACAGGTGTAGCCGAATCTAAGATACGTTAGTCTTGAATTTCACTGACCAGAATGAATGTGGCACTTTCTTATATTAGTATGATATTAGTAAAAAAAAAAAAAAAAACAAAAAAACTTTATTTTTAAGCTGTGAGTATTTGTCAGATACTGTACTACTAAGCACTTTGCATACAGTCTTAACATTCTTTGAGACTATTATTCCCATTTTATAGATTAGAGAGGCAAGCAGAGATTCAGATCTTTGACTTCGGCCCCATAGGTGGTAGAAATAGAATTTCACACTGGATTTGTCTGATTCTAAAAGTCTATTTAGCTAATTTATAAATTGTTTGATGGTTGCAAACCTTAAAGATGAACCACACATTTGGACCATCATTCTGGATGTTTTGTATAATATTTCCGTTTCTGTTTTAGAATCAAGACAGAACCAGTTTTGAATTTTGGTTCTGCCATTTAATAGCCGTGGGATCTCAAATAACTTAATATCTCTAAATGCTTTTATGTGCCTAAGTAATATCACCTTCACTAGGATCAAATAATTTGTGTAAAGCACCTAGCATAGTGTAAGCACTCAATAAGTACTTACTTAACAACATCAGTTTTCTCAGCAAGTTTTTCAATCTATAATTCACATTCACAACAGTTAATAATAACAATTTGTATTGCTTGATTATTAAAAATGAAGTTTTTGAGAAATATATTAGGTCTGATTATCAAAGGGTTCTGTTTAATCAAATTTCTTCTGATTTTATTTGCTAGGCTTTATATATCTGGTGGTGAGTAGATGAGAATCAGAGTTAGACTAGATGACTCCTAAGAATGCTTCCAAATCTGTGATTTCTCTGATTTTGAGAAAGCCAGTGCATTTTACAAACACATAACCATTTCTCCTACATAGTTATGGCATTTTGGAAATGTTACGCATAGAAAATTATTCTCTATTCTTTGTTCCAGCCCACACAGTCACTCTAAGGAGATCATTAAAAACTATTATAATTATGACTACAGCTCCTCTTTGTCCAAAAACTAAGCTGAAATGATCTGTTGCAAATTCAAAGTCACAGGCTACAACTCTGCTTGTTACAGTAAGACAATGACTCCAATTTTCCCTTACTGACTTTCCAGCCCACGGCACCTGTTTCAAAATGCCAGCTCCTAATCCCCTTTCAACTG